TCTGCATTATTATTAAACACTCCGTATTTTCTACAATTATGTATGGAATTTTATTTATGATGAATAAAGTTATTTGAAATGTTTTAAATTATATGATTAGCAAGTTAATACTTTAGTCCGAAAGGGCTGCAGACCTGGACAGATTAGGGTGTTACAGATACTCTAATGCGGAAGAACACCTCTAGAGAGAAGCTGAGAAAGAATCTACCGTACGTTCTTTTCATTACATTCACTAAAGTTTACGTTCTTACTACTTCCTTGGACATTTAATATCTTATTGTCATCTATTATTTTTGAATTGTCATTTTGGTAGAAGCATACAACCATCTCATAATTAATAAATTAAATAAAATTTTTCTCTACTTTTATGTGCTCTCTGAAGCTATTTCCTATCATCTTGAACCTTTAAATAGTACTCGCAGATTTACTCAGAGTAATAATTTTATCATATTGCAGCTGTAAATATTAATGGCTTTATTAGTAGAGAAAGAAGAAGAAGACACCATTACAGCAACTGAGAATGAAGAGTGGTGATACTCTAATGGGGTACAATGGTAATATATCTACTTTTTTTACTTTTTATCATCTTATTCTGTTAAAATCTTAATAGTATTTCTGTGTCGCCACCTTATGTAAAAATAAAAATATCAGGTGCATTATTGTTGACCAATGTCTGTATTGTGTGCAAACTAGGAGGAGCGGCAGAATGAGAACATAAATAACAGTGAGAAGCAAAGGGGTGTGGCGGTAGCTTCTTCTTCTTTAAAGTTGGAGTAGGTGGGGCCCATTTCGGACGCTTTTATGGCTAAAGTAAGTTTAAATTAATAACATTCTCAACATGGTGCTTAGTTTATGTAATTTACATTGGAGAGAAGAATTTGACTCGACTTTTTTATTCCTATAAGCAATTTGAAACTAGCTCTTAGAAAGTTTTTCCATGTAAAGAATTCCAAAATCTTTTGGATTTGATGGCTTATGGAGTCCATGTTTCAAGATACCTCTTTTGTTCAGAGCCACTGAGATTAAAAAGGAGACAACGAGAGGAGCCTATGAGGAGAAAGTTTGGAATGGATAACATGAACAATTAGAGAGCACTGGATGTGATTTATCAAATTTAAGGAACTCATCCATGTTCATTTGTCCTCAATAAAAGAGGACAATAGGGGTATTTCTCTAATCTTAAATCTTATTACTTAAAATATGAAATACATTATCAACAATGTTTACTCTATTCCAGCACAAAGGGCCATCACAAGATTAGTGAAGAAGAATTTATAAATTCAAACTATTTTTCAATTCCTTTTCTGTTGGTAATTTAGGATTATTGAGATTTTCCCCCTTTTTTCTTAATTGAAAAAGGTTGAGTTTTCCTAACAATATGGAGAAATTAAATAAAAGTTGATAATTTTTATACGACAAGAAGATATGAACTTTAACTAGGGGTTATTGATGAAGTGGTGTTTGACTGTCTTTTATGCTCAATTTGCAATTGTCACCACCTCAAGTCTATAAGTAGTTTTCCAATACTGAAGTGCTATTTTAAAGTGGTATTTTTTCTTATCTTGAATGCATTTTTTATATCTAAACTTCTCAAGAAACATATGAATTATTAGATTTCATTTTTTCATATTTAATTACTATTTTGTGATGTTTGAATATGCTCTATATACATGATTTGATTAAATTCAAGTTGAGGTGCAAATATTAGGTGCAAATATTTCTGTCATTCAATGTATACATCAGATTTTTTAATATAACAGATGCCTAAAGTTTGAGAATACTCCGTATTACAATACATATATAAGTCTTAGAATTGTTATAACTATTTAGTTTAAAGTTGATGTGCTGCTATTCGTGCCGTCAACAGTTGAAAGAGGGAATTGAAGACGAAAGGAAATGATTTTTAGAAGTAGAGAGGACGGATCAGACAATGCTACAGTGTAATTGGGAGTTAGTTACAAAGTGGTAAACAGTTTGTTAAGTTTGTTGTTATAGTTGCTAGCTAGTGTTGGTTATAAATACATCCCTTCCCTGTAATTTTTAGATCAATGAATAAACAATTTACCCATCTTTCGTCTCTCTTTCTTCTTTTTTGGTTTCAGATTACAGACACTTTGAAGCTCTCCTTCACAATCTAGGAAGCTTCCTAGAATCTCTAAGAGACAGGTATATGTAATCTTGGCCTCTATGGGAGGATTCCAAATAGGGTAGTGAACAAAGCTTACCATCTGCAATAAATACCATCTAAGGCAACTTTTTTTTATAATTAAAGTTCTGAAATATGTTTGAGACGGACTCTAGGCACATAATTTTGACCGAAAATTTTGAAATTTCTATAGGGGAAGACCTCATATTGTACCATTTGAGCTCTTGAATTTTCCAGCCATATGAAGAAAAAGGTAACATGTTCCTCCCTCATTCAGATTCATGAGAATTGAATCCCCTTATTCCCTTTATGTAAATTAATATTGCTTCTTTTAAAAATGTTGATGAACACATGATTCAGGAGTCGAAGCTCTATGGTGCCCATTTCAAAGAGATCAATCATAACGCTGCACAATCTACAAAGAGAGAGTTTGACAATTCTAATGACAAAGATTACTTTGCTTCATACGCTATAAATACCACTCTATAATTTGATCGTTATTATGATATGAAAATTGATTATCTATCTTTCTTGATGCTTGAACTCCAGAATTTAAAGTTGTTACTATATGTTTTATGTGTTGCTTACGTGCATATAGGGGGGGGGGTAATAGTTTACGGTTTTGTATATGCGTATATAGGGCTACAAATTTGAGCTCCCCACATTAGACAAGATTGTGGATGAAGAACTGGGGCTACTCAAAAAAGAAACAATTCAGCACTCCATGGTGGTATCATTGTCAGGTGTGTTTTCTTCGATATTCTTGCCTATTTGGCTTATTACCAAAAGAATTAGTAGTAGCCTGTCCCTCTTAATTTTGTTTTCCCCTCTCAAAGTTGGGTAGACGGATGGTTTTCCTCTCCTGCATAATTTCAGGTCATGCATAGTTTAAGAGTTTCAGCTATGGTTTAAAAGTTACAGAAAAAATTCTGTAACTTTTTAATGGGAGAGAAGATTGATTACCAATATAATATTCGCTCTGACATTTTCTCACATATTATCTACCTTCAAGCTCATGTATCTTTATCTCATTTTATTTGCTCTGGGAATTACCAATAGTATATACTTCCACTGCTTCTTTTGTTTTCTTCTTTGCTTGGCATACTGGTGTAGCTTAAACACATTATTTTTTCTTATACTTTCAACAAAAGTAAACTCATCTTTGAATGAAAAGGAGCATTCAAAACTGAAAAATGTCCTGGTCATTTTGCAATACATACGTTCACATTTTGTGAATTAGCTACTGCAACCAAGAATTCGGTATGCCTCTATTCTCAATTTTACTTTACGTCTATGAGGGAATTTTTTTTATGTTAACTCGCTAGATGAACCCCAACTTTGTGGAATTTTTATTGATTTGATTTGATGTTAAGGTGGGGAAGATACTCATGCAAATATGTCATTACAATTGATGAAAGCCGAACACATGAAATAGTCCATGTCAATTGTTCAAGAGTTGCATTGCAATACATTTTGGGTAAAGGCTTGATAGTAATCAATCAATACTTTAGAGGTGGCATCTGGGTGGAGAACATACCAAAATGTTTTTTTTAGGACTCCCTATCTCGAGTATTTGTCATATGGAGACGGAGAGAACAAACTGGATAAGCCGATTGTTTGGCTTGGAGATTCTTTCTTGGTTGTATAGAATTTATTCTTCCAAAGATGGTCCATTTTCCTGCCTTTGTGTTTATAATTGTTTATTCTAATCGTTTTAAGAAATGTTTATTTCTAAGTATTAAATTACTACAAAAAAGTATCATGTTTTGTGTTTCAATTTTTCCTTTTCATGACACGGAACAAATATATTATCTTCCATTGTATATCTAATTCTTATTTATGCAATATTAATAACTCTATCTATCAGAAAATATTTTCTTTTCGTGCAACGCACGGGTAAATTAAGAAATATAGTTCATTTAAATAGAAATCAGTTGAATTTGAATGTTTGGGTGTATTCAATTGTAACTTTTTAAAATCTATAAAAATCTAGTTGTATTCAATTAGGATTTTAAAAATTCATTATAAATTCAACAAAAGTCTAGCTGTATTCAAAATACTTTTAAAATTGAAAAAAAAACTAGAGGTATTCAAAATAATATTAAACCCATGGATTTAATAAAATCATTCATATATGAAGATATTTTACTCCAGGACTATAAATACTCTTTCTCCATTATTTTCTTTACGCAAGTGCAAGTATTCTTCCTCGACTTTTTTACGCAAGATCAGAGCCCTAGGTCCGCCTTCAAAGCCTCGTCATCTTCAACTGCCGGACAGCTTGAAATCATAGCAACGGGCCTGTTTGGGAATAGCGTTAGAGATTAGCGTTAGCGTTTTGGATAAAATTTTAACGGTGCAGATTACTTTGAAAACGCTAACGCTAAACACTGCTCGTAGATAGCTTTTTCAAAACGCTAACGCTAATAGCTAACACTATTCCCAAAGAGGCCTAACGCAGCGTCGTCGAGTAAGATTTTCATTCTTTTGAGATTCAATCCTTAATTTCTTGCTTTTTCTTTTGATTTCGTCTTGTCATTTTTTTCGGATGCCATGTGATTTTCTTCTATGAACCATTGTTTCTTTTCAATTATTAGGCAATTATGTTGTGTATCATCATATCATGGACCACGATTGTTTCAATTTTGCAAAGTATCTATTCCCTAGGTTTTCTTCAATCGTATTTTTTATTTTTTGCAAGATTTGCAAAGTAATTTAGGCCAAAAATGATTATTGAATTACTTTTACAAGGTGCCAGGGTTTAATTCTTTGAATCAATTAGGCAAAGTTGGCAAATGACAATTGTTAGGCTTATTAGGTTATTTTATTTTTAGAATTAGGTTTACGATGTTCTAGATTTAATAGGTTTGTTTTTAAAAGTTTTAATAAATCAATAAAATAGGTTTTCAAACCAAAGTTCAAGCTTCCTTTTTGAGGAACATGTCTGGTCCACAACAATTTGCAAAATCAAAAAATGGAAAACACTAATTCTGCAATTTTTTTCATTTATTTTTATACCTTTTGTGGGAGTCTGTCCATAGGAGTAAAATAGATCATTTACAAAATAGACTTCTAAAATTGGAATTGCAACAGGCATGAATGCAATTGGCCTTGGCAATGACACAGATGCCACTATATTAGAAGTAGAAGAAGAAGATGAAGTTGATGGGTTTGAGTCCATAGACAAGTTAGTCTTTGATGAAAATACTAATGCCTTCATACAAACTGATCTAACTTCACCAGAACCTACAAAAAGTTCAAACATAGAAGATCAACCTTCATCACACAATAACGTCCAAGGAAAAAGGAGCAGAGATGATTTTGAAAATAGAAAAGGAAAAAAGGTTAGTAAAACTCAAGATGAGGTGTTAGTGAACTTGTCAAGTGGGTTTGGAATAATTGTTAAGAGCTTTGATAAAATTTGTGGCCTGATGGAGAAGAGAGAGTCGAGAGAGAGTGGCCTTTTGGATGCCATGAATGAGACACCGGGACTAACTGATGATGAATGCTTTATGGCTCTTGATTTGCTTAACACCAAAGCAAAGCAAGATTTCTTCTTGAAGATGACTCCTGAACAACGATTAAGTTGGATCATCTCTAAACAAATGCAGTAGTCTTAAGAGTTATTTTAGCAATAGATACTTTTTTAGGTATTTGTTTTAAATAGTTTGAATTCCTATTAGTAGTTGAGACTTGTGTGTTTTGAATTACACCATATACTTTGATGATTTTATTATATATGGGAATTGACGTACCCTATTTATTTGTTTTTTTTATTATTAAGCTATGTCTGAAATAGATCTGTATGGAGCTGATGAAGATGAAGTAGAATTTTATGAGGCAGATAAAATATTATTATTAGCAATAAAAGCAGTTATTTCTGTGATACATAATCTCCTTTAGGACCTTGGTGGGGAACCTGTTGGACGGCCATTAACTCGTCGATCAGTGAGTTCTAGTGGATACGAGTAGATGCACAAAATATTAGATGATGACCCTCATAAGTTTAGAATGCTATTCAGAATGTACCCCAGATGTGTTTCGGAAATTATGTTTTATCCTAAAAGAGAAAACACCTTTAAGAGACACGAGGTATATTTGTCTTGAAGAAATGCTTGCAACTTTTTTGCTAGTTGTCGGTCAAAACAATCGTTATAGTGAACCTAAAATGATATTTCAACGATTACACTTCTCGATCTATTAGTAGAAGTTTCAACAAAGTGTTGAAGGCTTTGAATACAATAGCACCAGATTTTATGGCTAAACCAGATTCCGTACCATACATCATCAGAGAGAGCACAAGGTTTTATCCTTACTTTAAGGTAAGTGTTAGAATATAAATAACTGTTCTTGGGCCACAACCATAAGCTTGAGCTTTTGGTTGGATTGGTTCCTTAACATGGTAGCAGAGCCTCGTTGACTAAGAGGTCACGGGTTCGAAACTCAGCGCCACCCAGTTTAAAAAAAATAAGGTTTCACGTGCAAGGCTCGGATAAGACTACGCCTGTACGTGAGGGGGCGTGTTAGAATATAAATAAATGTTCTTGGGCCACAACCACAAGCTTGAGCTTTTGGTTGGATTGGTTCCTTGACAGTAAGTTATGAAAATTAACACTGACATTAGACCATCTTAATTATACACCAATAAATATACATTTTTTTGTAATTCATTTTTTCAGGATTGCGTTGGAGCGATAGACGGCACCCATATTCCAGCAATGGTAGTTGGGCGTGAAGTGAGTAGTTATCGAAATCGTCATGGGACTATATCTCAAAATGTCTTAGCTGTATGCAATTTTGATCTACAATTCATTTACGTGCTTAGTGGATGGGAGGTTCTGCCCATGATTCAAAAGTTTTAAATGATGCGCTTTCTAGACCAAATGGGCTCAAAGTGCCATCAGGTATATATTTTTTCTTCTTAAATTGAGTCTCTTATTATTGTAATTTATGCAACACATAAATGCATATTTATTAGATAATATTTTCATGAATAGGTAAATATTACTTGGGGGATTGTGGTTTTCCAAATTGTTGTCAGTTTTTAACACCGTTTCGAGGTACTCAATACCATCTTAAAGATTTTGGCAGAGGAGGAAATCACCCTACCAATGCACGGGAGTTATTCAATCTTCGACATTCTTCCTTAAGAAATGTATTCAGCGAATATTTGGAGTATTCAAGCCACGATTCACAATATTCAAAACAGCACCACCATTTTCATACAAGATACAAACAGAACTTGTTTTAGCGTGTGCGGGACTACACAATTTTCTTCAACGTGAGTGTCGTTCAGATGAATCTCCTCCGGCTCCGGATGAAGACACAACAAATGAAACAGATGAGAGTTATGAATGGGATGATACTCAAACACAAGATCAACGACGAGAGAAAGCTAACGAATGGAGATTAAATCTTGCAAATCAAATGCGGGCAACAACTAATAGTGAAAATAGTTAATTCGTTACTTTAATTGTTTTACAATTAGATTTGTTTTCATTTTTTGTTGCAACATTTGATTGAGATGATGAATTTTATACAATGCAATGTTTTCTATCTATTTTATTAGCATACTTTTCCCCTGTGTGCTCGGTCAAATTTTATTTTTAAATTCAAATTTGATAAATTTTGATCATCAATTAAATTAAAATTACATTATCAATTAGTATTAACAATAATACAATTAGAATTATCTTGTAAAAAATATTTTTAAAAAATTATTTTAGTTTATTTTATATAAAATAATATATATAATACTTATTCGGTTAATATAAAATTTATTTTGTTATTAATATAAAAATATAATATTTATTTAATTGAAAATTAATCTTATTTGAGTGCAAAAAATAACGCTGGACGGACATACTTGGATGGTGGAAGTGAAATCTATAAAATTATTCAAATAAAAGTACATAGACTTGTTAAAGTCCATAGAAATTATTTATATAAAATCAACAACTTTTAAAATATCAATAGAAGTCTATGACTTTCAACACAAGTCCATTGACATAAATAGAAGTCATTGATTTTAAAAATATGAATACAATTCCTTATACAATGCACCCCCTAAGTCTAAAATAATGACAAAATTTATAAATTAATCATTTGCGCTTTAAATTCTTATTTTAAAATTATTTTAGACTACTTTACTTTTTATTGAAGTTCATAAATAATAAGTTTATGAGATTTGTGGTTATTTTGTTTGCAAACCGAGCATTTCCCTTCTTACAAATTAGTACAATATTGAAGGAGGTAGAGTATGTTCGGGTCAACTAAGGTCATGTTCTTTGATGTAAATGATTCTGATCTATTTGGAATGAGTTTTGATCTGATTTAATTTAATCTGATTCGATTTGAATGTTATTATATTTAAAGTTGTTTTTGATTGAGTCTGATCTAAACTAATTGCAACAAGAAAAAATAATAAGTAACAAGAATAAGTTGAAGAAAACATGTCTTAAATGGATCATATGTCTGTATGACAATCATGTCCAGTGTCATTTGAAGTCAAAAGAAATATCTCCATCCCTAAAAATGTTGTTATTTAGGACTTCTAATGATTGATTCAAATGGCTTTTAATTAAGTTTATTTAAAGTGTTTGTCAATTTGATCTTTTCAAATCAAACTAAACAAATATTGATTATCAATTAAAAAAGTTATACTGGATATTTTTATAAAAGTAATTTCACCAGATTTATTTGATATTTATATAAAAGTAATTTCATTATATTTGTTTGTATAAAATTATTAGAAATTCTTCTCATTATATTAATATGCAATGCGAAATTAACGCAATTGATATCGAGTATTTAAAGTCTATCCATTTTAATCCAAGAATACTTAATGTTTATATTTATTCATTTTTTTCAATGTAATAAGAAAGTCTTAATAGATACTCCGTAATCTTTATCCTTTATTATAATATTTAAGACTCATGTCTCTAAAATGTTGACATGTGTCATCCTACATGGCATACTTTAAATTCTCATTTAACATTTATGAAAAAATATTTATGATAACTTTTAAAATTTGATGAGTTTAAAACAATGTATTTTGTATTAAAATATCATGGTTTTTTAAACTTATTTAAAATTATGTAAACGAAATAAAAATATAAGTTTTTTAAAAAAATTAAATGAATTTTTCATAAAAAAGAAACTAATCATGATTAACCTGGTCTTCTTTTTCATAAAAACAGCAATGATATTAAACGTCTTTTGAGTAAAGTATAATTTTTAAAAAAAATTATTAATCTATTCTTTTGTATGGAAATTTATTGAGCTAAAATATAGCTCATCTTATATCACCTAATTAAAAATCAAAAGTTGATTAAAGAAAATTAGTTCGTGATGGGTCTTAATCATATATTTGATCATTTTTAATAAGAAAATTTTTATGGTTTAATGCTTTTCAAAAAATTTTAATAATTATAATTTCCTTAAAATTAAAATACTGCAGGGAATATAAAAAATCTATCAAGATTTAAATTTTGTTATGAGATATTATATGTTGCATTCACATCACAGTACCGATAGTCTTTAATAGTTTGTTTATGAAATAAGGAGTGTTTATAGTGGATAAAACTTTTCTTTTTAAATGAAAATAGTAACAAAAAGGAAATACAAATTTTAAAAAAATTATTTTCATCATCTTTATTAGTATGACTTTTTGGCCCTTTGCTTTCCTTTATTGGAACATAATTTTTCAAAGAGAAAAAATATTATAGTAAAAAATTGAGAATTGCAAAAAAAATAATCTTGATATTCATATATTTATAGTTTAAAGTACTGAATGACACTAGAATAGAATATATTAAAATAGTTTTAGTGCTCTGTGTGGTTTGAAAAATAGGTATGAATAAATCATTCGTTTTCAAAATTTATTAAAACAAATGACAAAGCTTGCACATGCACCACCTCGGTTCGTATTATTTTTCCTTCAGTTTTATGTAAAAAAAGGGGGAACATTAATGCCTATTTCCAATCTTCATGGGCACAGTGCCCATTATCATTCTTCAACTTCTTTTTTGAATTCTTCTTTATAATGTTTTAAAATTCAAATTAGTTTGTATTTGAAATGAAAAAAGTCAAAAAACCAAAATAAAAAATATAACATATACTTTCTCAATCTAAAGTTAAACATTTCCGTTTTTAAATTTTCAAAAGTAAACAAACTATTTTTTGTACATTCAAAAAATAAAAATAAAATAGATAAAGAAAGAAAACAAAAGAAAAATAGAAAAAGGAAATGAAAAAACAAAAGGATCCAAAAAATTCTCTTATTGAAAAGTGGAAATGTATCCATAAAGTTGATTGATAAAATTTTATTTGGAACGTCCAAAAATTAAATTTTTGGATAAAATTCTTTCAGAATGATAAAAATAAATACTTTTTTGGACCGATGTCTAACAATTTCAAAGTATTGTAAAAATGTCCTCTTATTATTTTTAAATTTAAAAAGAATTATTTTTTTTGAGACATCTAAAAAAAATAAAGACTTTTTCTGGACATCGCAAAAAATTATCACCCCTCTCCGTGGCTACGATTTTATCTTTTCTATTAGAGTATTTTCGTATCTTTTTCTTTTTTTCATTTCCTTTTGTTATTATTTTATTCTATTTTATTATTCTATTCCTGATTTTTTCTTGAA